TAAAATCAGACCCATCAGATGTCACGGAGGGTTGATTATGGTCTTGTCATGTTAATACATGTCTAATTAATAGATCATATAACATAACTTATGAAATACCTGCAACTGACAGATTTAGCTAATGTATATACATGTTTATTATGTTTGGTGAAATACGCGAACAATTCAAATTGAACGGATTGTTTTGTTCTGTTTTGACGTTGGTGGGGTGTGTGAAACAGCCATTTAAAATTACTTTCACATTGTCGATATAGTCTCAGGTGTGTGCTTGTTAAAATTAAAGTATTTATTTATTGTGGACTTATCAATTAGTTTGCGAACAAATTTTCTTATCATTTAACAGAACACAGTTTTTATGGGAAACAATCACAGGTTACTATAGCCTAAATCAAGCTTGACAATACTAGATCCATATTTACAATCGTTAACAATACAATATTATTACGAACAGATAAAAAGCATACAGTTAACGAGGAGACAGAAATGTATGGAACACAATGATGACAATACAAATATTATATCAAAATAATTATCCACTTCGCATATATATAAATAGAAGTAGCATTGGTGGATTACACAAATCGAATATTGTAATTAATGATAGCTCTAAACTACTTTTGATGATATCTAGAAATTGTCATGGGTCGGTCGCAGGGATTGTATGCCTCCTTTAAGAAGCATCCCTGGTGTTGAAATCGCCCAATACAGCATCACATTCCGAAATCCGTGCCTCACTCCACAGTAAATCTTAATTTACAATTGGAAATATTTAGGAGAGATTATCCATAATAGAATGAAAATTGATGAAACAAGACTATTAGCCATCAAGAGTATCGCATGTCTGTATGAATGTATTACTTATGTGTGTACATGTATGTGTTTTCTATGTTATATGTATTATTAAATGTATATGTGTTGTCCTAAATGGACGTTTTGATGCAATTAAACATCTTATCTTATCTAGCACAAACATCTTGTAAGTATAAGCCGGTCTTGATAGCATTATACGGAAAATAACCTTCCGATTTTTTTTCCCGTAAAGATTCATGTGAAGAACACATAAATGTTTCGAATCGTATATGGGCTAATTCATAATTTAATGGTCTGCGTTATTTTAAAACCAGAGAGTTGTCCAGTTCTATACTTCCATTCTCAATATTTAGAATAAATGGAAAAACTTAACAGTTTTTGCATTTCATTTCCTAGGAATGAGTGATTCGTGGCATAGTTTTTCCGCGTCTCTTTAGGGCAAGCAGAGATAAGCAATTTGATGGGTTGATTGGTCATAATGTGGCCCAAAATATGACCTTTGCCACCAGTCTTACGCCAAGTTAGTTCAACTTTTGTCGCTCTAAAGTGATATTATTGGCTTCCTGACTTGATTAGCTAGCTTTTAGGCTTTGTTTCAGCTATGAACTCTAAATTTTAATTATGGTCACAAATTAGTGGTAATTAATTAGCTCTTAAGTAGCATTAGTACAGCATTTTATGCTCTTAAGCAGTCATTTTGTGCAGTGAAACTCATAGAAATGGTGTTAGAAAGAAAAAATAATCCCGGACAAGACAATTTAATCAAATCCACTCAAACGTCATTATGTCACCTAAAATTTGACCTTTGAACCACTCTTAAGCAAGGTTTGTTCAACTTTTGTCGCTCTTAAGTGATATTTTTGGTTTCCTGACTTGGTTAGCTAGCTTTTAGGCATTGTTTCAGTTATTGACTCTAAATTTTAATTACGGTCATTCATTAGTGACCCTTGACCTTTGTCACCTTTGAACGAGTCTTAAGCAAGGTTTGTTCAACTTTTGTCGCTCTTAAGTGATATTTTTCGTTTCATGACTTGGTTAGCTAGCTTTTAGGATTTGTTTCAGTTATGGACTCTAAATTTTAATTACGGTCACGAATTAGTGCTAATTAATTAAGTAGCATTAGCACGACATTGTATGCTCTTAAGTCATGCATTCTGTTTCTTGGTGTTAAATGTGAAACGCTTGCAAACAAATTGTAGATGGACATTGAATTTTAACTCCCATTAAATACGGGAGGGTTAGGGGGAGCGCTCTCAGGTATATGCACAGGTTACAAAAATTAAGACCTGGCTTTCCAAAATGATCTAGGGGTAAAATATGACACCTCAAACCTTTTGGACTCAATATTTTGATTAAATCTCACTGGGCTCCCGGACTAATAGCATGGTTCAGTATTTTTAAGACTATGGTCCGTTCTAAATGAAATTCGGATTCAGTTAGTTCGACCTAGTCAAGCAAGTACGATAACTGAAGATCGCTCTTATCAGCATTCGATACATTTAAAATCTGTTGACGTCGGATGCCTGCCATCTTTGTAAACCAGCGGTTGCAAGGCCAGACACGCCCACATTTTGCAAGAGATGGATAGAGAACAAACTAAAAAAAAACGATTTTTCGTACAATCAGGGGCCATAATCCAGAAAGTTATGGCCTGAAATGTGCAAATATCAAAATGGACTGAGATCTTTGGGATATAAAGATATATTTTAAGTTTCATCAAAATCGGATAAAAATTGTGACCTCTAGAGGGTCCACAACCTTCGTATTACATACTTTTACACAATTTGCGTACAAAGAGCGGCCATTTTGTCGGGCAGTTTTATTCCGATTTTCCTGGAATTCGAATTCAACCTTCATTATGATGGAATGGTGATATATATAAACGGTTTGTAAAATGGGATAAAAAAAAATTTGACCTCTAGAGAATCCACAAGCTAAAAAACACGATTTTTACGTACAACCAGGGGCCATAACCCAGGAAGTTACGATCTGATATGCGTAAGTAGCGAAAAGAACCGAGGTCTTTGGGACATAAACATATGTTTTAAGTTTTACCAAAATCTGAGGTTCCACAACGTATGTATGACATACGTTTACACTATTTGCGTACAAGGAGCCGCGCTATTTTGTCAGGCAGTTTTGGTCCGATTTTGACGAAATTGGAACCCAAGCGTCTTTAGGGTGTAACGTGGATAAATTTGAACGTGTTTGAAAATTGATAAAAACTGTGATTTCTTGTAGATTTTTGTTTTGCGTGTAGTGTGGTCCGCTTGCACTTACTATTAGAGGGTCCACAACTCCACAAGCTAAACCCGTTATTTTTCGTACAATCATGGGCCATAATCCAGAAAGTTACGGTCCGATATAAATAATCCAGGAAGTTACGTTCGGACATGCGCGATTATCGAAAAGAACCAAGATCTTTGGGTTATAAACATTTAATTCAAGTTTCATCAAAATTGGATCAAAATTGTGACCCCTAGAGGGTCCACAACCTTGATATACCATATGTTTACACTATTTGCGTGCGAGGAGCGGCCACGAAATTCGAACTCAACCAACATTACGGTGTAACGGTGATATATTCAATCGGTTTTTTTTTTAAATCGGATAATAATTGTGACCTCTAGAAACGCGATTTTTCGTAAAATCCGGGGCCATAATTCAAGAAGTTACGATCCAATGTGCGCGACTATCGCAAGAAACCAAGATTTTTGAGTTATAAACATGCATTTCAAGTTTCATCAAAATCAGATGAAAATTGTGACCTCTATAGGGTGTCCACAAGCCAAAAACGTGATTTTTCGTACAATCAGGCGCCATATTCCACAAAGTTATGGTCCGATACATTCCATTATCGAGTCCATAAACAAATTGTGGGCGGACAGACAGACAGACAGATGGGCGGACGTCCGGGCGTCCGGGCACACAGGGGCGACGACAATATACGTTCTCATGAAAATGTGGGCGTAAAAAAGGAAATGATATCGGAGTGAAGTTTCGAGCATCTGTTTTCAGGGGGGTTGGGATGGCCTAGTGGTCTAGAGTGTCACGCTTCGACCTCTAGCTGGCCGGTCACCTCTGGCTTGCGGTCGTGGTTTCGATCCCTGGTGTGAGCGTATGTGGCTTGGAGATAGGGGCGCCTTCTCAACCTCGTGGGTTTACTCCGGGTACTCCGGTTTCCTCCCACAGGAAAGACCCCTGCGCGTGCGCTAAGATAATGAAAATAAAAAAAAAGACAACTTGTCTGCGATATCACCTTCGGTGGAAGCGGACGTTAAACACTAACAACAACAACATCTGTTTTTCTTTTGGTACAAAAAGCCCCCAAGCATATACATGTACTTTACACAGAGTCGCACCATTTGGTTTACGGAATGTTGTGTATGCGAGAACTTTGTATTAAATTGCATATTATCCAAGCACATGCTTTCGGGTTTTATATGAAATATTCCTGAAAATATACATTAAGAATTCATCCACAGAATGTGCTTTCAGTTAGACCTACAGTAGAAACGAACACCCCATACCATTTTCATGCAAAGAAATAGAAATCGGGTATTATAGAAAAAGAGGACAATAATGGTGCATAGTGTTGCCACGGAGTGAATCGAACCAGAATTTTATTTATTGCAGCGACATCGGAAAAATAATAATATATAGCATACCTGTTTAAAAAAAATAAAATCTGAAACGCATCGGTGTTTTTTGTAAGATTACATTAAACAAACTTATTTTATACTGAAACATGCGTGATATTGGATGGTAATGTGTCGTTTATATAATTAACACCGGGTGTCCATTGACATAAATATGAAAGGGTCATTACGTTCCATTTTAGTGTTTTTTTCTTCCATTTAGTCTATGTAATAGGTACCATATGCTAAAGTCTGTCAATTCTGATATGTAAATAAATAGCGGCCTTTATTATTTTTGATATTTTGCTGTTATTTACCGATCAGCAATTCTCAGAATTTCTTTTGAATTTAACATTTTAACACCTGTTAAATTTCAGTAGATACGATTAGGCAACCACCGTCTAAATATAAGTCTTTCCATATCACGAACGGCTTTAGATGATAAAGCATGACGACATTGATAACACTAATAATATCACAAATCTTTATAATCTCTAGGCTAGATTAGTTACCGTCTGTATGCAATATTATTATTTTCCTTGTCATTTTTAGGTATGAGCGGATGGGATGCCTGGTCTCAACAATTATTAACTAGAAAAATAGAGGGGGTTAAACACCGTAGTGCCCAACACGGTGGCATTTATGGTCTTGATGGTAAATTATGGGCTGGAACCGATGCATTTATGACGAAAAAGGTAAGCTAAAGACTCTTTAATCACTATGTATCCAATATCAGTTGAAGATCATTTTCTTTCTAAATGAAATTAAATGAGGTTTAACATTCTGCTATTCTGTACCAACCGGGGTAATGAAGACGGGCATACGCCATGTTGTGTTCTATGTGGGAAAATTTTGCCCGGACAGCGGCGTTTCTGCAACTGGCAACGTGTACATGGAACCACGGTATTTCGTCCAATCCGAAGGACTTGGCGCTGTTTCTTGTCAAGACATCCGCCCTGCATTGAAAAGGAAAACTACGCTGAAAAATCCCGGGGAACGTTCCCTGTCAACCATTTTCTTTGTGTATAATTTTGTAAGTTCGGACTTTTGTTGTAAGATATCTAGAACTTACTCCAGGCTAAAATAGAATGCCATGCCATGGTCCTACATCAGATTACCTATGAGACTGAGACGAATGGACTATATCTACGAGAACGTAGCTAAAAACGTTGTGGGCGGAGGCTAATGCCCACCCGTGATCGGCACAAAGGCGTCTTTATGAAATTGTATGCTTTTTTCTTCTGCAGATAAATCCACAGTCCTTCAAAAGAGTTCACGATGCCATAGCAAAAGGGGCCACAGCTGTCAGTAAACTAGAATTTGGCGATAAAAAGTTCTTTGTATTGAAGAATGATCCTGGTTCAAAATTTGTAATCGGTAAATCAACACAAAAAGGAGCGGGTTGTACGATTGCAAGGGCCAAGTCGTGTAAGTATAATAATTATAATAACTTTGATTTTTCTGAATGTTTCGATTTGGTTTTTATTATACGCCAACATTGAAATGTCGTGGTATATTGTCGTCGCCCCCGTCCGTTGGTCCGGCGTCCACAATTGCTTGTGGGTGCTCATGAGACGAAGAAGCCCATTGATTTTCCACGATTTCCGATAATTACTGCAAAAGTTATGGCCCTTGATAAATTTGAAATATCTTGTGGCCGCTCTAGAGGCTAAAAGTTAATATTCGGTTGACTTTAGATTTATACTCAGTGTTTAAGGTCATGAGACAAAGAAGCCAATGATTTTCAACGATTTCCGATAATTACGTGATGGATAATGGCCTCAGACTGTCCATTGTGTAAATAGAAAGAACAACTGAGGGGCGTTAGCCCCGAAGTTTTTCTTTGTATTTACATAATGGACAGTCTGAGGCTATTATCAAACTTAAAACATAGCACCATAGGGATACAAATAATGGATAGTTTTCTAAAAGAACAAGCCACAAATAATGGATATACAAATGTATTCTTAAAACAACATGCACGCTCATGAATGCATGTGACAAAACATTCCAGTCGTACAATGAATGCAAGCATACACAAACATTCCAAAATATTTGACATGGAGACATGTTTATAACACAGTCGAAAACAAATATAAATAATGAGAATATATGTGATAAGCATTTGGAAACTCATTACATTGTGTAATGTACTCGATATGGAAGATAATAGCCGTGAAAAGGGCTATACTATAAACCGGAAACTAACCCTAACCCTAACCCAGGCACACAGAGGACCAGGCTCCCGGTTACCTATTTAGGGTGCTAGTCTCCAGGTTACCTATTTAGGGCATTTTCCGGTATTTAGTGGGTTTTCCGGTATTTAGTGTTTTACGGTGTTTTCCGGTGTTCAGTATAAAATGGTGTTTTCCGGGTGTTTTCCGGTATATAGTATTGCCGCTTCAACCCACCATCTTGAATTTAAAGCTTGTGAAATGACACGTACACGTTGGAATTTCGATTGTAATCTGTACTCAGCGTTACCTTGATCTACCCCAGTTTGCGTGTTTACTTTTAAACCCGTCCAGAGTGTTAGTTAGGGTTTCACACTGCGTAGCTTGTGTAAAACACTATTGTTTTTGTTCGGATTATTCTTCTTCTTATTATTATTATTATTTTTCCATTTGAGCATATCTCGGAAACTATTTGTCGGATCGATTCGATGTCTTCGGTTTTAAATTCTAAAGCTATTTCTAACGTTCTGTGACAATGCGAAATGTCCGAAATCACCGAAGTTGTCGTTTTTCGAAATTTTGCCTTTATGTTATCAATAATTGTCGGATTGTAATATATGATACATTTTGACATAGCCGGAGACAAGGCACATAGCTACAGTTCTTTAAATTTTTTATTTTCGACGAATTTTCGGAGATATTAGGCGCCAAATTATGAAAATTTAAATTTTATTAATGAATATTTTTATGTGGTATTTTACCTAGGGTTAAAGAGTCATCTGATTTGACCAAAAATGGCAACATTTTTTGTCGACGTATTTTTCCTTGGCCCCCATTGGCTAATTCAGTTTTTCAGTCCTGGATTAATTATTTATTGTTCGATTTGTATAAAACAAAGTTCATGTGCTCCGTGGTCCAAAATGTCATTTATTTTGTTACCGGTATATTTTCCTTTCGGCAACGGAAGTGACGTAAATTTGGCAAAAACTGCAATTTTGACAGTTCGGTACCACTTTTTGAAAGCAAATATTTTTTTCAAATCTGGTATGACTGAAAGGGTGTGCCCTTTTAAGGCGCAGAAATCATTGTGCTCAGTTTTTTTTAATTTTTATTTCGTTTTCGGATCATTTCGATTTAAAGGTGAAAAAGGTGAAAAAACGAGCTATTCACAACCCATTCAGGCTATTCATATTTTAATATATTTTTCGCAACTTTCATAAACTAGTAGCAATAATCCATACGAAGAGAATGTATGTGAAAATTAGTTTGTAATATGAGCAGTTGCCGAGAAATGGGCAATTTTGCATGAGTCACTTTTTACGCTAGTTTGCCTGTAAAAGAGTCAATTATTTTTCGATTTTCATAAAAGTGGTTTCTAACTTGTTCAGTTGCGGAGAAATAGACGATTTTCAACAGGTAACTTTTCAAGGTTTTTGGTCCATAAAAGTGTCAATTATTATTCGATTTTCATAAATTTCCAGTGTGTGGTACTTAATGACTTTTACGATTTCACACAAGTAATTTAACACTTTTACTGTCACCGGAAGTAACGTCATTTTGGTAAAAACTGTATTTTTAGCCTTCAAAACAGATATCTTATTCAAATATGTCTGATTTGTATTGTTTTTAAAATTATATCTGATTCTAATCAACAAATAGATTGAACCCACACGATCATACGGATACGAAGAAATGGTTTCTAACTTGTACGGTTGCAGAGAAATAGACGATTTTTTACAAGTCACTTTTCAGGGTTTTTGGTCTATAAAAGTGGCAATTATTATTCGATTTACATAAAATTTTCACCATGTGATGCCCTATGCCATTTCCGATTTCATAAAACTAATTGAACATTTTCATTATCACCGGAAGTACTTACACTTACATGAAACAAATGTATAAAACGAATTGATATTGCTGGATTTGGTTGATTCTACGTCCATTTTATTTGATGTGTGCAATGCTTATGTGGAAACCTGTTTAATGGTTTCATTGGTACCGGAAGTGACATATGTTTAAGGGTAACGTGGCACCGGTTAAACCCGTCATTACTGCGTCGCAGTTCTAGTTGTATTTTACATCCGCTTCCACCGAGGTGATATCGCAGACAAAACCCGTCCAGAATCGTTCGTTCGTCCCTAAAGTTTTGCGTCCCCTTCCACCATAGGTGATAACGTAGACAATCCGTCCAAAAGGAAGAATTCCGGTTTTATAGGTAGAACGGTCGACTATATTGTTTTCTCGTCAATCATAAATATTTATTCATTTTAATTCTCTTTTCAGGCTTTGCGTTAGGAATATATGACGATGATCAAGTGCAGCCCTCCAATAATACAAGTCAAGTTTGTTATGTCAGGGACCAACTTATTGCCGCCGGTTATTAACCTAAATATGTATTTATTAATGTTTAAATATCAGTTTTATTATATTATTAGATGTTAAATTTAAGTGCCGGGGATATTGTTTTATTGTATATTCCAAGTCAGTGAGGTGGAAGTCATTTATACATTCTAGTTCCAAATAACTGTAACCATTTTGATATATCAGTGTCATTTATTGTAATAACCTATTCTATTAGCAGAGTAAATTAAATTGTTTTTTTATTGTACATTTGACAGCAATATCATTTACTTCAGAATCTCGTATATATGTTTTTCAAATGTTTGTTTTACAATAGAAAACTGTTGTTAATTCTACCGGTGTATGCGTGAAATCCCATAGTGTTGGCTATACTTTTAATGGTTTAATACTTTTCATTAATCCAAAAAACATTTTAATACTCAAAGCGAGTATAAGATACAACATTCCATATTGTTTTTTAAATACTAGTTCATGTAATAAGTGGTGTGATTGAAATAGGTTAATTGTTAATCTATGAAATTAACTTTACCCAAAGGTAGGTGACCGCCATTGTAGGCGATATAATATTCATCAATATATGAGATAAATGTTTCTATAAAGCTTGTCAATGTGCCGGACCCTTTACGTTTTAATATGTATTTAATAATTTATGTGTGTTTCAAACTTTTCATAACGAGTTTATTTATTTTTATTTTTAAATTCAAAATTTATTTAGGTTTGTATTTAATAAACCTCATTATTTATTAGTTCATATCGTATATATATAAATGAAACGAAATTTATTGTTTACGTTCTGATCAAGTTACGTCACATTTTACAAATAAATTACTAAATAAATATCACTTTGTTTTTTTGTTAGTACGGTCATTTTCCTAGGGTGGTGGCTGAATATAAAGACTATATAATAGTATATGAATAGGCCTACTTCATTTTGTTTTATTATGTGTGAATTCCGATATTTTGAATTCCGGTGTTTACATGTTTACTATGTGAATTCCGGTGAATTTCCGTGTTTAAAAGTAATTTATCATTAATGTAAAATATTAGTAAATACGAAGGTCTTGAGTCCGATTTCCGATATGTTGAAAGTGAATTCCGATGTTTATATATACTCTTCAAAAAAAGTAGGGGATATTGAAATGCAAATACCTATGCAGCTTGGATATGATAAATAGCCATGGACATTTGACATGCTTTGAGAGTATGTTCACAGATGAAGAACTTATCGCCCCAACGGAACCACTGGGCTGCACATGCAACACGCAATAGCGCAATACACGTGGGAGGGATTCATTGTCAAATTTGACACTTCAAGGAAGGGTTGATGAAAACTGCCGCGTGCTGGTTTATCTATCCATGTTTGCTTTCCTATCGGTTCTTGCATAAAATTTACTGTTTAGCGTATCTTTGCTTTAGTGTGTTACGTTCAATTTGATCGGGAGACGTGTTCGTCGACGTCAACGTCAACCGACAACACTGCAAGAATTGGCCGTGGCACTGCAAGATGAGTGGGTCAGATTGCCCCAAATCGTGATTTGACGGTTGCTTAGGAGCATGCCACGACGAATTGCTGAATGTCTGAGGATTGGTGGAGCAATTACTCATTATTAAAACAAAAATCAAAAACGTTCATTTTCAATTTTGACGGTGTATCTCTTTGCGAGTGAAATGGGGCCGTTAGATAAGCCGCCCATATGAACTGTTTATGTTCATGTGTAGGCAATTGGCCTGTTATTAAAGGGACAATAACACTCTTGCTGGCTTGAAAGCTCCAGAAAATAAAAATTTTAAGTACTAGATGTGTTAGTGTCCTACTTGTTGTGTAAATTATCCATCAAATCCTATTTTACTTGTCCAGAGGGTTCAAAAATATTTTTAAATCCAAGTAACATTTGAAAAGCTTTACGTCAGGCTTTTCAAATCATTTAGTTGAATTTTTCCAATTTTTTAAATTAGGCGTGTTAAGATGAAATTTGTATCATCAATTAATTGGAATATTGTATAATAGTACAATTTGTTGACCAGAATAAAGATTGGGACATATTATTCAGTTACAACAAGAGTGGTATTGGGCCTTTAACATACACTGGTTACCTCTAATAAAAACAGCAGTGCATTTCCTCGGTTTTGCCTTGTTTCTGAATATCCCCTGTTTTTTTTGGAAGAGTTTATTTTCAAAGTGAATCCCGGTGATTTAAAGTAATTTATTATTAATGTAAATTAATATTAGTAAATACGAAGGTCTTCAATGCGAATTTCGATATGTTGTAAGTGAATTCCGGTGTTTATATGTTTTCAATGTGAATTCCGGTGATTTTATGTGTTTTAAAGTAATTAGGGTTTCAAGCGTAGCTTGTGTGCGTGGCTTGTGTGAAACACTATTGATTTTGTTAAAATTATTCTTATTATTAGGGTTTCACACTGCGTAGCTTGTGTGAAACACTATTGTTTTTATACGCCCACATTGAAATGTGGTCGTATATTGTCGTCGCCCCCGTCCGTCCGTCGTCCACAATTGCTTGTGGACGCTCTAGAGGCTAAAGTTAATATCCGATTGACTTTAAATTTATACACAGTGTTTAAGGTCACGAGACGACGAAGTCTATTGATTTTCAGCGATTTCCGATAATTACTGCCAGAGTTATGGCCCTTGACCACTTCAAAAAATCTTGTGGACGCTCTAGAGGCCAAAGTTAATATCCGATTGACTTTAAATTTATACACAGTGTTTAAGGTCATGAGACGAAGAAGCCTATTGATTTTCAGCGATTTCCGATAATTACTGCCAGAGTTATGGCCCTTGATCACTTCAAAAAAATCTTGTAGGCGCTCTAGAGGCCAAAGTTAATATCCGATTGATTGCAGATTGATACACAGAGTTTAAGATCTTGAGACGAACAAGTATATTGATTTTCAATGAATTTTTATGACTTGGAACAGCTAAATTCATGATACAGTATTAAACGTTTTGTGTACAAAACGTTAGCATGGGGCAGAACCATTCTAATGGTTTTCTGAGTTGTTGCTCTTAATCAGATTTTAGTGTATTATAAATGTTTCATTACCGAAAAAGGTAAAAATATGCGACAACTCTTGTTGACTGCCCGGACGATTTAGCTGCTGTGGGCGTATGTTTCGTTGCCTGGCAACCTATCTTTGTTAAAATTATTAGGACTTTCGTCTGAAAGCCTATGAGATTACTAAAATTATTATTAGGCTTTCAGACTTTGTCTGAAAGACTATTGTTTTTATTAAAATTATTATTAGGCTTTCTTTGTCTGAAAGACTATTGTTTTTACTAAAAATATTACTAAAATTATTATTAGGCTTTCAGACTTTGTCTGAAAGACTATTGTTTTTATTAAAATTATTATTAGGCTTTCTTTGTCTGAAAGACTATTGTTTTTACTAAAAATATTAATAGGCTTTCAGACTTTGTCTGAAAGACTATTGTTTTTACTAAAATTATTATTAGGCTTTCAGACTCTGGAAGACTATTGTTTTTACTAAAATTATTATTATTTATTAGGCTTTCAGACTTTTGAACGTTCTGCGACAATGCGAAATGTCCGAAATCACCGAAGCTATCGTTTTAAAAAATATTGCAGTAATTTTAAAAATAATCGTTGGATTTTAACTTTCGATACATTTTGGCATAGCCGGAGACAGGGCTACTTTTGATTTTCGGCAAATATTCGCAGATATTAGGCGCCAAATTTAGAAAATTTAAATTTTTACAAAAAACTTTTTTATTTATGAATATTTTTTAGTCGTGTTTTACACAACATTAACGAGTCCTCTGGCTTGGGCAAAAATGTGAAATTTTTTTGTCTCAGTAATTTTCCTTGGCCGCCATTGGCTAATTCAGTTTTTCAGTCCTAGATTAATTATTTATTGTTCGATTTGTATAAAACAAAGTTCATATACTCCGTTGTCTCAATTGTCATTTTTTTTGTTACCGATAGAGTTATCTGTCGGCACCGGAAGTGGCAGTTAGGTACCATTTTTCGAAAGCAAATATTATTTTTAAAAAAAAACCCTGATATAACTAATCCATTTTGATTAGATCTCAGCAACTGCTTGTCGCATCGTTTTGATTTCTTCGGTTTTACTGGGAAAGCGGATGTGACTTAGAGGATAAATTACAAAAAGTACAGAATACTGCGGCTAGACTTGTTACTTTAACTAAGAAATGTGACCACATAACTCCTGTTTTATATAATTTACACTGGTTACCTGTTAAATATCGAATTGATTTTAAGATTTTATTACTTATTTTTAAATGTTTAAATAATTTAGCTCCTGTTTACCTCTCAGATCTTTTAGAACTTTATACACCTGGCCGAACATTACGTACATCAGATAAACTACTTTTAAAGCCCAAAACTGTTCAACTAGTCTCCTATGGTCAGCGCTCTTTTAGTTATCAAGCACCTGTTTTATGGAACAATCTACCATTTAGTTTAAGATGTTGTACATCTCTGTATTCTTTTATAAAACAACTTAAAACACATTTATTTAATCAGGCTTTTAACTGACTCTGTATACAATCGTTAACATGCCCATATTCTTGTTGTTTATGTGTGATTTACATTGTCACTTTGTAAAGTGCCCCTGAACATGTTATATGAAAGGGTGCACTATAAATATGCTGTAATAATAATAATAATAATAATAAAGCTATTTTGAACGTTCTGCGACAATGCGAAATGTCCGAAATCACCGAAGCTATCGTTTTTATACGCCCACATTGAAATGTGGTCGTATATTGTTGTCGCCCCCGTCCGTCCGGACGGACAGGGTCGACGACAATATACGTCCACATGAAAATGTGGGCGTATAAAAATAGGTTACGTGCCCTTGTTTTGAAAGTAGTCTCGCTTAACCAGTCTACCAACCATTCTACTAGTAAGTGCAGGGGGACTTGTACAATTTATAATATATTAATATAATACCCCACACAAGAAATGCAAAACAGGTATGTTGAAGAAATCGTACTATGTAAGTGTATTTATAAAGGCATAAAATTAAGGGAGGTAATTCAGAGAGGGTTAGGTAACTACAGAAAATCTAAAATAAAATTTAAATTGGATCATTATCCAGTATGTAGTCGGTTATATACTTACAAGAAATGTCAAACTTGGTATGTTGTAGAAATGGAAGTTTTGAAATTTCTTTTAAAATGCGTAATTGTGTAGCGCCTTTGGCAGTGCATTTAAAGTAAAGAGATTTTATTCGGGAGAGAAATAGTTCTTTATTGTTACATATTGTCAAAAATCGTAATGCCTGTGAATAGAAAACACTATATAGCGTGGTATATGGTATGTTACTATAGATTGACGGGTATTTTACTACTTCAAAACCAAATTTGTCCGTTTTGTCGAAAATACCGACATTAAATTTATTGTTAATTATATTGATGTTCAGGTCAAGAACAGATGCATTTGTAGTACCGGAATTTTCTTTATTTAATATTAGTTCAGGAGGACATATTTCACTTTTATATTTGTTGAAATTTCCGTTATCATTGATAGGTGTTATGTCATCAATGTATCGGAAGGTATAGTTTAGACTTTTGGCTACTTTGTAATCTGTTTTTCTTTTATGGTCTTGAAAGTCGAATTCGTATTTATATAAATGTGCATTTGCCATAAATGGGGCGGTGTCAGTTCCCATTGGCAAACCAATGATCTGTTGCATTATCTGATCCCCAACCTCAAATATGGCATTGTCAATGAGGAAATGTATGATATTTTGAAATTTTTCTTTATCAAAAACTAGAGTGTCGGCATTGCGACGTTTTATAATCCATTCAGCATCTTCTGCATAAATGGCCATCAAAAATCTGCCTTTCCCGAAAGCTCCATTAAAGGCTTGATCTACAAACCAATCTAAATTATCTTTAAGATCTGCATGTTGAAGCATAGTATACAAAGTAGAAAAATCGAACGTTTCTATTGTGTTGGCATTAATTTTTTTTATTGATTTTTTCTAAAGTGTCTACTATAGGTTTATTTTTATCAATTATAAAAAACCCTATTAATTCCAGTATAGCTACGAAGTATTCTGCACCAAATGGCATGTTGGGTTTGGCATAATTTAAGCCCTTTGGTGATAGTCTTAGCTAATGGTTTCGTTTGGCAGATACTTAGGAGATAAACACCCCTCTAAATTCGAAATAGGAGGTGTTTATCGACATTGTAACACGCTATTTTTTAGAATTTTAAAAGAACTTATTTTATTGTGTAAACTTCAAAATTCGTCTCACTGCAAATCGGTTTTAGTGACGTAAAAACCAAAGAAATCAATTTTGACGTAATGAAAACGTCGTGACGTAGCGGGGGTAACTGGCTGCTCATGTTAGATTTGGCTCGTTTATCGTCTGGTTGCTATAGTAGCCGTATGAGTATAGACACACAAAAAAACCTAAAATTCTCCCTTCATTTTTTTAAAAGTACTTTTTGAAATTAATGATGGCGTTAAAATGAGTAAGCTAGAAGATTTGTTAAGCTTTTCTTTAATTTCTAAGATTGCTCTAGCCAAATTAAACGTTGATCATGCGACATCTTATTGTTATCTTAACTTAAACCCAAACAAAGAGACAGTTTAAAATCAGCTCTTATAATCAAGTTACAATCGCAGGCCTACTGGCTATGGCAAATCACTCATATTTCATTTGATTTAGCCTATTGCCGTATTTCTCAAATTCCAAAATATTAATTATTGTTCCGTTAAATTCCATTATTGAGAAAAAATTGCACAGTTTCGGCTCTAATCCACAAGCTAAACATAAACTACCGCTGCATTTAATTGGTGTTGACATCTTCAGCGTCCGATCATGTTTTTGTTTGTAAACATTGGTAATGTGTGCAGAAAGAGATGCGCACTGCCGGGAGGAATTCCTCCTGGCAAGATGGGCCGCCTTCGGCTCGTCCAAATGTTCAACCATAGTTCAACTAGGTCTCGACCATGCGCATCCGAACTTGAAATTGTTAGACTATAGTCGCGACCATGAATGGCATGATTAACCCACCTTTCGAGGTCGGTTGAGGCTGGTCAAGTCAGATTTAAAATGGCGTCCCGCGACAAAACATATGGTGTGTTGAAATTGTTATATGAAGATATAACGTATACTACCAATGTTGCCCCAGAACCTGAGACTTATTTAAATTCACATAACATATTTAAGTAGTTTCCATATTATATAGAGTGGATAATCATGTTTTGTCAATCAATTCGACCAAGGATTAAATCGACCAAGGCTGATGTCAGACTGAAATTGTGAAAGTGACAGTATTATAGTAAAAATATTTCATCCATTTGTGGATTTTATTTGGAAAAACAGTAACACAAACAAACGATTTTGTTCATTAAATACATCAGTTTGATATACATTGTAAATATAAATTATGTAACTGTAAATAAACTCTGGATATTTAGTTGATTTGTTTATTTTATTGTCTGGGGATAACTCGGTCACTAACTCAACTGTGAGTAGATTTCATGAAATCGTCGTTATCATATTCTACTTCTAGTACAGCTTTTTCAGCATAGTCAGAAACTTTTGGCAAACGTCCGGGAATTTTTCTCCAAGGAATGATGTGGTCATATCAAAGCTTTCATTAAACAAACTTGCGTTTTCGTTAAGTAAAAGGTTTTGTAGCAATTCATTGAAGAGAACGGCGTCCATTTTGACGACTATGGTCGAACTAGCTTCCGTTCGGATGTAGTGAACTATACTCTGCTGTAAAGTCGTGACCATACAAGCGCACCCGAAGGCTGCCCAGGCTGCCCGCTACCTGATACGTCATTGCCTCCTTCGGCAAACCTCGACAGATTCTACGAATCTAATCTCGGCTGTATGACGAATTCCGCCATATTGGAACTATTTTAAAGGTCCCGGATGAAAAATGGCTGCGCCCATGGAGATTTCTGTGGAGAGTGTATCATATCAACAAACGTCAAGTTTGGCATTGGGTTTGGGGAATTACCAGGGAATTATATCAAACCAGAAGCCTTGAGACAATATCTCTGCTCGTTTAGTTATATTTACTCGACAAAAGACGCCATTTTGGGACTTTTTTGTAAAAGCGGCACGTTTTCCTGTTAAAGTAAACCGGTAGCCGCATCGCAAATGTATGGGTGTAGGTACATATCAATTACTATCATACATCCAAGGTTAGATGTAGGGTACCGGAATCTGCCGAGGTTTGCCGTGTGGTCATTGCCTGTCTCTATATATTGAAGTCAGAATAGCGCAGTGATGTAGGAACCAGCCTGACGTCATTTAGAGCAGGTTGTCCAGTCTAATTCTTCGTTTGATTGACAGGCCGGGATAATCAAGACTGCTTTTTTACGAAACATAGCAGAAAGCTGGAACAAGAAATTGAATTTAGAAATTGCACCTTGGACAACTCAACAATTGTTTTAAGAACCTTGTAAAAGTAAAATGAAACTAGTGCTAGTATCATGTTCTTGCCCAACGCAAGTATTTCAAACGAACGTAATTTCTAAAGCTGCTGTAATAACCGATAAGCGTGTACATTCGCCGTGTCGAGACCAACTTTCTGTACGGAAAATTTTGGGTGCACGGGTCACCCTACCCTATGCTTCTCTTAAAGTAGTGAAAAGCCTGGTCATGTTTTTGCTTTTTCCCATGTATGGATTAAAAAGATTCCCACTATCCTTCTCTATTAGCGCTTTAATCCTACAAATAACCCAATAAATTTGACGAGGAGTATAGGATTCTTATATTAACATGTTGAAAATCGTTAGGATAAAGTATTTTTTTTTTCTTTAATAACATTGTTATCTGGTCGGATGCAAAAGTCTATTAACGTCTGGTCTTTTTTTTATTTATTTGAGCCATGGGACAGTGTGATTTAGAGACATTTTCTTCTAAAAGTAGGCTATGTTGTTTAACATGTAGCTTAATGTTTAAAGATGCAAATTATTATATTGTATTATTAATGTACAAACTGGTGAGATGAAAATAAAGTTTTGATTAATTACTTATAAACATGCAATTTTGGTCTTTAATTTGCATACTTTTTACTCACTTGATTAATGGGAATACATAGTGGTTTGCAGATGTTAAGTGATCACCGGGGCAAACGCCTTGATTGTATGCCCCAAAGGCCCATGTATATGGCCTAATACTGAGAATGTGAGAAAGGAAGACAGTTTAAATATGTAAAAACAGATGAAATAAACCCCCACCCCCACATTAATGCCCGGGGCCATCACCCCCTCTATCCCCTTTTCCTGCATGCCACTGTGAATATATCTGAAATGTTGGACTGTTACGTTAAATGTTTCACAAAATATTGATATATCCAACAAATTAACTATGAGCCCCATTTTGGAAAAGATCTCAGCATCTACACAAGTAAATTTAATAAAGTAATTTAGAATTTAGAGGACTGTTATTGCCCATTTGATACTGCTTAAATCATTAGCGGCCGAGATCGCGTAGTGATCGAGCGCCTCTAATGAAAAATTTAAGCGGTATCATGGACAATAACAGTTTGATAAATTCTAAATAGGAGGTGTTTATTGATAATGTAGCCCAAAATATTTAAAAATTTTCTTGGAATAGTTCACGGTCGTTTTTTGGTTTTAATGACGTAAATACCAAGGAAAACAATTTTGACGTAATAAAAAATATCCGTGACTAATAAGATAAACACTCATTTCCATTCTATTTGATTCACTAAGCAACTGGTTAATTGTGTCTGTTTGGGAAGGGAGGTCACTCTGCGATAATTTTAAAGATCGAAACGGACACAGATCACTAAAGATTTCCCCATTGACTCCAATGTTAATTCTCGTATCTTAGACCGGCTCTAACTTTTTCCCAAATTTTTGTTGGGTAGAACGGTTTCTACCACAGATGGAGCAACATGTGGCAACCACTTGCCCAAAAGCACGTATGAGGTTCTTCATGAAAAACTTGAGATACACAAGCTGGAAGTAGAGACAAGTAAACATGCAATTTCAGGCCCTACATTTCAACCTAACCAACCTCTCAACTCTTGTATCCTTCCGCATCAAAATTATGAATATTCACCAAAACCTGGCAGAAAATGTATTTTCAAACCCCTTTCCTCGATTCTACACCAAAAAGTCAACAAAAATCGCCATGCAAAAGGGGGAAAAAGGAAAAGGAAGAGGAAGACTAAAAATAGCTTTGGCCCTTGTTTCGTGGGTGACGGCGTAGGAATATTTGGTGATCTGTGTCTTATATAGGGGTGAAACTTCAGGTATCACCAAAAGGCCCTTTTTATTTCCTTCCCATGTGTTCTGGCAACATGCCGGTGAAAGAAAATCAAAATCAAAGAATAACTGTAAAAATGATGGCCCTTTAAGTACACATGTTGCTTTATGTACACTGGTGCATCTCAGGTCCATAGGCCTTTTGTGCTAAAATTTAAAAATCTTTCTTATTAAAGGCAGTATCTGAGTTCTGTGAAAAAATTAGACAAGTAACAAAGAAACTACATAGAAAACACTCATAATTTGGAATTTTTTTCAAAAATATAATTTTTTACTGCCATGTGATGAAAAATGTACAAAATTTACATGTAGCATCTCTCAAAATACCAATAATTTTCCACTTTTTTAAATATCCGGACGGACAAGAAATATATTTTTAGAATCTGTGGACAATATGCAAACAGAAAAAATGCAAACCAGTTGCAATGATTGTAATATTAGAGATCTATACTGAAACATGTATGCCTACCCCCTGAACATGCCACTGATTGAATTAATCTAATCTATGGTTGCAGAACTTACATTACCAAAGGAATCTGTCTAACAGCTATGTTTTACCATCCCTGGCTAACATATGCACATATAAACTAAAATAGGTGCAATAAATATGAATTATGGTTAAAAATAGGCCTTGATGAATGAAAAAAATGCCATATTTGGTCTATGATCACCCCTCTCTAACAGAAGGGTCACAGAATACACAATTTTCACAAATTTGGGAATATTTCAATGTTTCCAACATTTCAAACCTCAGAGGCATATTACAAATTTGTATTGCAATCCTTGTGCTGAAGCAAGATGTCTGGAACTTTACATTAATTTCCTGAAAAAAAGAAGTCAAAAAAGTAGTCATGACAGAGTTGACAACATAAAAAGAGGCCTGAAAAGGAGAAAAATTAACATTTTATTGTTTTATAGGCAACATAAATGCAGCAAACACCACAAATGCTGGATTTTGATAAGAAAATATTGAACATTAAACTGACATTTACACATCTACACCAGTTTTATATCTGGGTCTGGTCTCATTGGCCTGAAATGCCTCAGGGTTCTACGTTTGACTCTGAACAAATAAGGGTTAGAAATCCTTGAAATGCACAAAAAAAATATTTTTGGGTGAAAAATAACATTCTTAGCTGTAATTCAACCACAAATTCCAATTAAGATCATTTACATGTCAACACCGGTGCATTTAAATCCCTCAAAACACATTAATAGAAAAGGGTGGGGGGGGGGGCATTTATTGCCTCTCTAAACAGAATGATGGAGTAAAAAATGTCTAGAAAGGCTGGGATATTGCTTCCTACATGAAGGAAATGCAAGAATTTAATGTTTCAAAGAAGAAAAAAATGCTTATTCTGCGTAAAATAGTGGCAAAATTGAGCCAACCCCTGTTTTGAACATTTTGTACAAACCCATCTGCTGTACATTATTAACTCAGTGTTACCAATTTTCAATTTTCTGTAGGAAAGCTGGAGCTATTTCTAAACCTGACAAACATGTAGATCCCATCTAAGTTATATTAGCAAAGAAAATATGGGCATTTTTAGACATTTTGACTCATTTTAGTAGTCATGAAAATATTAATTTCTACATCGAAATGGGGGGGAATCTCAAGATTTTTTGTGAATATTCCTGATCTTTAGACAAAATTTGGTGAAATTTCAATACTGTTCACTTTATCTGTGCTTTCTGAGACTGAATAAGCCAACATTGGGCATTAGAATATTTTACTTACTGTTAAAAATTCAATAAAAATTGAAAATTGAGAAATTTGCAGTAAAATCACAATTTTTCTTCAAAACTTTGATTTTTTTTTTTTTTAATTAACTTTTTTTAGTTTTTCTGTAGTCAAACTATTTTATTCATATTTTCTGAGAATTTAATCTTCATATTTTCAAAACTAAGGCATATCAGTGACAGCCTTATCACACACAGACAGGACACAGATCACTAAAGATTTCCCCATTGACTCCAATGTTAATTCTCGTATCTTAGACCGGCTCTAACTTTTTCCCAAATTTTCGTTGGGTAAAACGCTTTCTACCACAGATGGAGCAACATGTGGCAACCACTTGCCCAAAAGCACGTATGAGGTTCTTCAAGAAAAACTTGAGATACACAAGCTGGAAGTAGAGACAAGTAAACATGCAATTTCAGGCCCTACATTTCAACGTAACCAACCTCTCAACTCTTGTATCCTTCCGCATCAAAATTATGAATATTCACCAAAACCTGGCAGAAAATGTATTTTCAAACCCTTTTCCTCGATTCTACACCAAAAAGTCAACAAAAATCGCCATGCAAAAGGGGGAAAAAGGAAAAGGGAGAGGAAGACTAAAAATAGCTTTGGCCCTTGTTTCGTGGGTGACGGCGTAGGAATATTTGGTGATCTGTGTCCAAACAGGAATCTTAAGTGTATTTTATGTACTTTTTACATTGGCAGTGTCTAGTTTGTCGGCAGTCGTGCTCTGATTGGTTCATTTTATAGACACTTCCTACTTTTTAAATGATTTTGAACTCCAGCAGTGGCTAGGTTCGAAATAAATTGCATATCGTTAGATAAATGTCCAGGTGACTGTGTGACCGTGTAGATTAGATATATGCTGCGTAGCGTACGCATGTGGTTGCTATGCTTGTTTACGTTGTCATTTCGACGCTGTGAATGTGATTTTTTTTCTTCACAAAAAACCCTGGCCTGTGTATGAAAATTGGTCTCTGTCCTATTCATATCAGTATCAGCACGACTTGTATATTTTAAAAAATATATTACGGTCCATAGTATTTTTATTCACTTGTTGAAAATCTTCGATTTTGACCAGTCTGATTATGATAGAATGACCATAGCAACTATTATTGTCAGACCAGCCTTGAAATTAAATTTACTTATTATCTTTCAAATACACTCACTAACTTTGTTTTTTTTGTGTGTTTCAGGTGTGTGTTTCAATAAGCCACTGGTTGAATTTCATTGTTGATGACATACAAGAAAAAATTCATGAAGATTTCCTAGAATAAAGTTTTAAGGTGTAGAATTTTTGGCCACTTCAAACAGAGTCTAGGCCTAGCACCCAGAAAATATTCATTCGCAATGAGTAGCCCAGGCAATTTAGAGGACTGTTATACTCATTCGACGCCGCTTTTCGACCAATCAGAATCCAAGAAATTTCCATTTTGGGCTACAATACATGATAACCATACATAAAAAATATTATAGGCTTGTACACATTTTTTCTTATTTTAATAAAATAAAACAAATTTACAAGAAATGTTCACAATGGTCTCTGCTGGTTCAATTCACCAAACATGGATTACGATTAACATTTTAAAAACAAAAGATATGTAAAATGACAATTTTGATACCTCTTCTGATTGCCTGACTTTTAAACAGCGGATGCCAGGCAGGATAAGCCCATATTTTTCAAGAGATGGATAGAGAACAAGCTAAACAAAGATAGGTTGCCAGGAAAACAAAACATACGCAGCTAAATCGTCCGAGCGGTCGACAAGGGTGTAACGGTGACATATTCAAACGTTTTGTTTAAAATCAGATAATAATTGTGACCTCTTGAGGGACCACAAGCTAGAAACGTGATTTTTCGTACAATCGGGGGTCATAATTCAGGAAGTTACAATCCGATATGCAAAAATATCGAAAGGAACCAGGATCTTCGGGTTATAAACATGCATTTCAAGTTTCATCAAAATCGGGTGAAAATTGTGACGTCTTGCGAGTCCACAACCTTGATATACCATATTTTTTACACTATTAGCGTACAAGGGGCGGCCATTTTGTCCGTCAGTTTTGGTCCGACTTTCAAGAAATTAGAACTTAACCATCATTAGTGTGTAACGGTGATGCATTCAAACGTTTTTTTTAAATTGGATAAAAATTGGTAACTCTAGAGGGACCACAAGCTTAAAATGCAATTTTTCATACGATCAAGGGCCATAATTCAGGAAGTTACAATCCGATACGCGCGAATATCGAAAGGAACCAAGACCTTTGTGATATAAGCATAAATTTATGGTTGCATCAAAATCGGAAAAAATTGTGGCCTCTAGAGGGTCTACAACCTTGATATACCACATATTTACACCATTTGCGTTATACGAGAGGTGGCCATTTTGTCCGTCAGTTTTGGTCCGATTTTCATGAAATTCAAACTCGACCATCATTACGGTGTAACGGTGATATATTCACACGTTTTTTTTTAAATCAGATAATAATTGTGACCTCTAGAGGGACCACAAGCTAAAAACGTGATCTTTCGTACAGTCAAGGGCCATAATTCAGAAACTTACGATCCGATATGCGCAAATATCGAAAGGAACCAAGATCTTTGGGTTATAAACATGTATTTCAAGTTTCATGAAAATCGGATCAAAAGTGAGCTCTAGAGGGTCCACAACCTTGATATATCATATTTTTACACTGTTTGCGTTCGAGGGACGGCCATTTTTGTCCGGAAGCTTTGGTCCGATTTTCACGAAATTCGAACTCAATCGTCATTAAGGTGTAATGGTGATATATTCAAACGTTTTTTTTAAATCGGAATATAATTGTGACTTCCATAGTGTCCACAAGTTAATAAACGTCATTTTTCATACAATCAGGAACCAACTTCTTTGGGTTATAAACTTACATTTCAAATTTCAACAAAATCAGATAAAAAATTTTGACCTCTATCGGGTCTACAAGCTAAAAATGTGATTTTTCGTACATTGCCAATATCGAAAGGAACCAAGATCTTAGGGAGATAAACCTATATTTCAAGTTTCGTTGAAATCAGATAAAAATTGTGACCTATAGAGTGTCCACAAACAATTGTGGACGGACGGACAGGGGCGATGACGATATACATCCACATGAAAATGTGGGCGTATAAAAATAATATAGAACAGTATTACTGTTAAGTATGAGTAAAACAGTCTTTTTATGTTTACCTATTTTTTAAAAGATAGTAAATATAATCTACTGATAATCACCATTAACATATATATCCAACATTATTCACTGAATAATTAATTAATGGATATCCCAATTTTAAGCATACAAGCAACGAGTTGACATTCATGTTTGATAGAAACAAATGTCTTCTCTTTATTTTCTATCCGGTCAAATTTGAAATCCAAGGTCCAAGCCTGCACTATATTATAAATATAATGTATAACTCTGAAATCACAAGATGGCAAATACAAACATTCTAACTTGAAACATCTTGAATATAGATAAGGTAGGTCAGATTCGGTTGTGTCCCTATTAAACACTCTCTAAAGTTACATGTTCATAAGGGAAGAAAATATAATATTTCTCATAAACCCCTTATAAGGAATTTGTGATTTTTCATAATATTTTAGATTAGAACTAAAGCCTAAGATATTGCTGACACTTCACTTTTAAAGTTCGTTTTAAATCAGGTCTGTTTATAATGTCTATATTCAGGTTTTAATTCCCACATATTTTTGTGTGGAGCTCGCATGTTGTATGTACAAATTTCTTTCAATATTTCCTTTACATAAGGCTGAAAGAAAGAAGAATTTTTTTTTTTTTTTTTTTACAATAATACAATTTCAGAGTGGAAGGCATACACACTAAGAGAGGTTGCCAACCAATGAAACATCTGCCTACATCAGCTATGTCATCTGAGCAGTCAGCAAAGATTTTCACATATTTATTCTTTTGTACATGTAGGTAATTAAGGGGGACATTTAAAAGACACTAAAAACTGATCAAGTGTAACAGCCCATGAAATAATTATCAGAAATAACTAAAATTTTATTGGCTTCTCCTTCTAACTAGTGCTAACATTTATTATAGAAAACAATTACCTGTAATCAGATGATAACAATAGTTATTTGATTTAATGAAAACCATTGAAAAAACAAATTTTGTTTTATCTCATAAACATAATAACGGTTTATGAATTTCAAATCAATCATTACTCTGAAAGTAATGATAACTTTAGCCTCTAGAGCTTTCTGGAAACATTTCGGGGATGCTCGATTGTCAGTCTAGAACGTCCAAAATTGACAGAATTGCAGTCGAGTGATGCAGAATTCAGAAAGAGAGAGAGAGAAATGGGGTTTAACGTCCACTCGACACAAACTAGGTCATTTCGGGACTAACATATGGTTTAATTTTATTTACATAATTCGCTAGCGCGTAGGGGTCTTTAGCAGTGGGAGGAAACCGGAGGACCCGGAGAAAACCCACGAGGTTGGACAGGCGACCCTACTCCTTGCCACGTACAACCGGGGATTGGAAACCACACCAGTCGACTCAATGACAGACTTTATGATACAGCGCGCGCACGCTAACCATTCAGCCATCCAACCCCCCTGCAGAATTCAGTCCTGTCACACTTCTGTCAGTCCCGACAATGCAGGTGGTGTGAGTAGAATCGTGATGTAATTAAACACAACGAATATATTTCAGTTACATGGTTGGTTGAGACAGTTTCTTATGCAGACAACGTATAGTTGTAGCCCGAAATCCCCCTTTCCACTCCATTGTCACTATTTTGAGGATTAACATAATTCTATTACGGAACGTTCAATTGAGTATCCCCTTCAAATTGATCAAGGGCCATAACTCTGACAGAGTCTACAAGCACTCATTCACCTAATGAACATCTACACCAAGTTTGAACATTCTACATCACCCTGAAGCAGAGTTATTGTGTGACTGACTGACAGACAAGACCCTTTTCTTTTCTCCTGTGTTATTCGAAACATGAGGAACAATAAATGGTCTATAAATCTATTACTTACTATAGGTTGATTGGTTATTCTGACTAAATCTTGTACATTGTAATATTGGTGTTTCTCAAACGCAGAAAACAGCATATCCATAACTTTATCTTTATCAGCTCTTGATCTCTTTGAGTCAGATTTTTTCTTTCTATTTTCTTCGAACTAAAATTGTGCAAAGTATCATTAACTTGAAAGTCATAAAAAAATTGACATTTACTTACAATTTAAGTCTAGGACCAGTCACTTGTTTTGACTTCTAATAATTTTACAAATACATTCCACACCACATGGGATCATGATGCCCACCTTTTTTAAAGGACAATATTGGTGTCAGTCATTATTACATATGTGATAGAACTGGTTAAATGCATTCCAAATATAATTTTAACACAGAGATCATTGCTACGGGAGATGTGTAACAAGCACGTGAAGAAACGGGAAGTGACGCCAAACATGACAAACACGAGTTGTCCTTCTATATAACTGGCTGAAGTAACGAGCGATAACAGACAAACGATCAAATTTCATTTCACTGATAATTCCGTTGAAGTTGAAAAGTTATTATATGGGACGGTGAGAGGGTATCTCACAATTCAAAAATAGAATTGGCTGTCACTAGATTAGGGACACAAGAAAAATAGAAAAATCCAGTGCATTCCCCGGTTTTTATTCATTCTGTTTTTAATAAAAACATGGTAATGCACGGACTTTTTCTAATTTTTTCGTTATCTTTTATCTACTGACAGCCAATTCTTTTTTTGAATTGTCAGATATCCTCTCATCGTCTCATATAACAACTTTTCATCTTCAACTGAATTATCAGTGAAATGAAATTCGATTGTTTGTCTGTTATCGCTCGTTATTTCAGCCAGTTATATAGAAGGACAACTCGTGTTTGTCATGTTTGACGTCACTTCCGTTTCTTCACATGCTTATTACACATCCACTGTAACAATGATCTCTGTGTTCAAATTATATTTGGGATGTATTTAACAAGCTCTATCACATATTTTATAATGACTGACACCAATATTGTCCTTTAAAATTTGAAATATAAAAGGGAGATAATCTCTTATTGCAAGAGGAATTAACCAGCAAGTGTAAATTCTGTTCACCAAACTAAATACAAAGAGGCATGTTTATTACCCCTTCTACGATCCAAATACATGTAGGTTTTTTACATTATTATATTTGTTGTAAAGGTGAATTTCTGATTTATACGCATCCGCACCATGGAATGAATTACTGAAAGTGTAGAAATGTATAATGTTAAATTTACTTACACTGGAGACGTAATCTTTAGGTTTATAAACTTGTACAATACGATCTAACTGTTTTATTTCTCTCTTGGGCTTATTACCTTGTTCTAAATGAAATCTAAAAGTGAAAAGAAGAATTAGAGACTTGTACTAAATGAAATCTAAAAATATAAAAGGAATTATAGACTTATCATAATCATGTAACATAGACAGGGCTTGTCCCATTCTCTACATGTCCAACAACAGAAAATTCTCCCACGACAAATCAATAAGCATTGCCAACAGCGCTCACTCTGTCGATCGCCATTGCCGCCAATTGCGATAAAAATATAATTTTGGCGATAAAATATTCAATGTGGCGAAATTTTTGGCAATAACTTTTTCCTGTATGGCGATTCTTTTTTAGCTGTGGCGATAAATTTTTCTTGCCACAAAGCTTTGATTTCCACGCCGTACATACACGTTACAGTCTCTTGCACTTGGCTGAGTCAGTTATCAATCAATTAGGTGCCAATAATAGAGATCAATCTCGGATTAGTGTTGATTAGTATTAACAGTAAGAGTAGTAATAAACTAATTAAGAGACAACAAATTTAATTATTTGTCTTCAAATACAAATCGGTGGCTTTTTTGACGGTTTCTATATATTCAAAATGACAGACACTATGAATAATACTCGTTCGATTTATTTGGGATTATTGAATTATGACTTCTGTTTTATCTTTTTCTTACCCCTGTTGCCCGTATCGTTAATAAATGAACTAGGTTTGTTGTTACAGTTTATAATTGCGTTTATATTCTTTAGGTTATCATCAAATCACATGCCATGGGTCGTAAGCGAAAACTTGAACAGCCTTCGTCAACGTTCGATAGAAGAATGTCAGATTATTTTAGTATGTCACCAAATTGCTCTAAGTCTACAGATGATACTGACATCAGCTCTCGTCCATCTAATATTATTACATCCTTGAAGAGATTTTAACTTCTACAATAGGTCTGCATGTAGTTTACAGCAAAAGTTCGCGACAGAGAAAAATTTCGAAAGAGAAAAATCTTAAAGGGGCATTGTGGGAGATTAGATAAAGAACTGGCAGTTCTCACTATAATAGTTAAAATTAGATAGGTGAATAGAATATGCTGGAAAGTTCAGTCAAATTGCTCCACTCTGAACCGAGATATTAGCTTTTGAATTTTAGGCCTAGCCTCGATCATCATTACTAAAGTCGGTACAATAAAAAACATAGTCTCGATTATCCACTTTTGTTTAAGCGCATTCTGAAAAGGTAGATCTTTTAAATATGAATGGAAATTTTCAGATAGATAGATATTCATTAACCAGCGGCTGCCAGGCAGGATACGCCCACATTTTCGAGAGATGGATAGAGAACAAGCTAAGAAGAAAGTGATTTTTCCTACAATCAAGGGCCATAATTCAGGAAATTACAATTCGATATGCGCAAATATCGAAAGGAACCGAGATCTTTGTGTTATAAACTTACATTTCAAGTTTCAACAAAATCGGATAAAAATTGTGACCTCCATAGGGTTTAAAACCTTGATATACCATATTTTTACGCTATTTGAGAACGAAGGGCGGCCATTTTATCTGTCAGTTTTTGGCCAATGTTCACGAAATTCGAACTCAGCCGTGCTTAGGGTGTAACAGTGATATAACAATACGGTTTTTTAAATCGGATAAAAATTATGACCTCTATAGGGTCCACAATCTAAAAACGTGATTTTTCATACAATCAGGGGCCATAATTCAGGAAGTTAGGGTCCGATATGCGCGAATATCGAAAGGAACCAAGATCTTTGGGTTATAAACATACATTTCAAGTTTCAACAAAATCAGATTAAAATTGTGACCTCTATAGGGTCCACAACCTTGATATACCATATTTTTACGCTATTTGAGGACAAACGGCGGCCATTTTGTCTGTCAATTTTGGGCCGATTTTCACAAAATTCGAACTCAGCCGTCCTTAGGGTTTAACGGTGATATAATTATACGGTTTTTTAAATCGGATAAAAATTATGACCTCTATAGGGTCCACAAGATAAAAACGCGTATTTTCGTACAATCAGGGGCCATAATTCAGGAAGTTACAGTCCGATATGTGCAAATATCAAAAGGAACCGAGATCTTTGGGTTATAAACTTACATTTCAAGTTTCAACAAAATCGGATAAAAATTGTGACCTCTATAGGGTCCACAAGCTAAAAACGTGATTTTTCATACAATCAGGGGCCATAATTCATGAATTTTCGATCCAATACATGCCAATATCGAAAGCAGCCGAGATCTTTTGGGGATAAACCTATATTTCAAGTTTCGTCAAAATCGGATAAGAATTGTGACCTGTAGAGAGTCCACAAACAATTGTTGACGGACAGACAGGGGCGACGGCATAATACGTCCACATGAAAATGTGGGCGTATAAAAACAAATACATACATCAAAACCTTCTAAATTTCAATAGGATTCCTCCTTATGACAGTATGAACCAATGAAATGAAATGAGGTTTAACGTCCTACTGTTCTGCTCCGAACTGGGCTAATGAAGATGGGCATACGCCATACAGTGTGCTATGAGGTAAATTTTGCCCGGACAGCAACACTACAGCCTACTCTTATATCGAATTCCAACTGTCAAGGGATATTTTACGTGCACACCAATGTGTACACAGGGCCTCGGTCTTTCGTCCCATTCTAACAACTAGACTGCTGTCCTTGTCAGACCCTCTGTCCTGCATCACTGACAAGGGGGAAACCACACCAGAAAATCTGGATGAACTTTCTCGGCCAATGCAGGGATCGAACAGTATGAACCAAGTCAATCTAAAGTAGAAAGGTAAACTTTTAGGTCAATGTTTAAATTTGCTATACCTGTAATTCTAATGCTGTTGTAAAATGAAACGTACCGTTTTAATTTCTTGTATTTTTCATCTGCTATAGGTCGGCATTCTGCCCTTTGTATAACTTTTCCATCAACAGCAATTTTCTCTAAAAAATGAAGATAAGAGTACAGCGGATAATGAATCCAGTAGGTAATATCCAAATAGACTTCAAAGGGTTTGACAACAGTCCTCTTCTTTCTGCAATAGGCAGGGGACAAAAATAATGACAGTTTGAATCTATAGAGCTACTACATGTACCCATAAGCTTACTGGTGGTGAATGACAATAGACAAGTGCTCAGATGTGAATAATTTTCACTGTGTTCACATGCAAGATGCTTAAACTTTCTAAAAACATTACACCGATAACTAATTCAAATTTTTTTGTCAAAATTTTGCACACAACAAATAGTAAACCGCAAATTTTCTAATTAGCAAAAGGTATAACTAATGAGATTCAATATCTTGTTCATCGAGGGACAATAAAGTGTGAACGTTTACCTGAGACCAACTCCTTGGTACCAGTTGTAGAATTTTCTGTAAAATAAATTAAGCTTAAAGAGAAATGAATGTTAAACGATCCCACAGGGCTCCAGTAATAATATAAACAATTTTACTATCCTGTCTGTTTTAATATTATTTCATCCCATCAAGCCGTTTTGTTACCTTTTGAGACTTATTTTGTAGAGTGACCAGGTTAATAAATAATGTAAGACAGTTAATTTGTCAATCAGTCAAGGCTATGTCATGCTTGTCAGCAAGTGCTAATAAGTTATACAAAACTTGGATCAGAAATTTAAAGCTTTAAAGATTTCAACAAATGACAAGTGCTATATGAAATATTTATATGGTCTTTAGTGAAAGTTGTAGCTACTATTTTTGGGTTTGAAGGTCAGATATGATATGAAAATGGTAAGTAATTTTTTGAACCAGTTCACATGTGCAACCTAACCGTGACCATATATTAACAAACTTGACAATACATAAAATATGAATGCCAATACATGCATAATGCATTTACAGTAAAGCACAATGTAAAAGCATCTCTAGACTGATTGTAACTTAATACAGTTTAACATCATTAAAACCATTATCACACATGAGTCAATGGTTTCATTTTCTTGTGATAGGCAAGACTCTCTTTTTTTTCATATTTACTTCCTTGAGGTCTCCCAGCCATACCGTAGCTATAATATTTCTATATGCTTTATTGTACAACATTTAAAGCGGAAATTGCAAATTTTCTAAGAAAGTCAAAACGTAATTATTTCTATGTCTTTTGCTCAATAGGTTGTCAACTCACAATTAGACGATCATAGGTGTCATTCTCACACTTAAAACTCATTTACACAGGAAATAATAACACAATTACCTCCCTTGTTTTCTATTCTCCACCATGGAGTAGCTTTTTTCAAACGTTTGAAATTGAGAAGGAAAATGATATTTTTGCCAATTTCTCAGCTAGTAAAAGTGAATTATAGGATTAATAGGATTATTCTTTAACAAGGTAGGACTGTTTATGGATACCATCTATTTTCAGGCTTTATTTTAATAAATTTTAAAAATATAACTTAAAAATTTGCAATTTCCGCTTTAAACATTACCTCCAAATATAGGTGTCTTTGAGAAAACAACTAGATTCTGTGTTCCCACTCCAGTTAAAACAAACTTATGATCTTTTGGTATATCGTTGCCAGTATCCTTAGCTGTAAATATTACTTCTGGCTTCTGACCGGGTAATCTGAATTAATATATGCACATATAAGATACCAGCCAACAGAAAGATGTTATTGTGTTCCAAAATCAGAACAGAAAATGCTGATTATCTAAGTTAGTCAAGGTATTGATGTAATGAAACTATACACAAAGTTTCACGATCCACACTCAGTTATCATGTTCCAAGGTCTTGACCAATCAAATTGTTTATCTCTGCTTAGCTTTTCACCAAATAAACATCTACTATCCACACAGTGGCGGCACCAAGGCCCCCCCTCCCCTCGATAAATCTGGTTCGCCCTCTGTATCCAGCCCCCAATAATTTTCGAAAATGAAAAAAAATATTTGTAATATGTTTTGGTAATCAATACCTTCTCCGGTGATTAAATCACACATTGTAGAGTCTGAGTGATTTCTTACCAAGCCCATCCTGCTGTACACATACTATAAACATTAATATGTGAACCATTTGAGAAGTGCTTTTTACAATCCTCAAAGTTTTGGGGTATAGGTTCAACGCAGCAAGAACATACACTCACTCTGTTTGTTTGACACCTCCCTCTCTGTTCGGATAAGCTGGTGATTTGGCGACGAACAGTATCTGGTGAGCTCTATTATCTCGACGACAGTGTCGGAAATACTGCCAGACTGCATTTCTAGCAGTCTATTTCTCAAAATATTGTGATAAAAATATTCATTCACTTTGATTCACTCACTCCGTTCGTTTGACACTTTCCTCTGTGGTCGGATAAACTAGTGATTTCCGACAGCCTGTTTTTCAAAAATATCTTGGGGAGGCAACCCCCCCCCCCTCTAAACAACTAGTTGAAGCTTATGCCTTTGCCCCCCCTTAACCTTGGACTTTGGCTGTCCAACCAACGGCGGTATCCACACAGGATTTCAACAAACAGAGAGAAACAGAGAGAAATGGATGTTTAACGTCCACTCGACACAAACTAGGTCAGTTTTGGACTAACATATGGTTCAATTTTATTTCAATAACTGGAGACATTTACCTAATCCTAAGGAACATCTACATGAAATGGGGTTTAACATCCTAATGTTCTGCACCAACAACAGGGTTAATGAACACGGGCATAAACTAGTGTACTATAAAGGAAAAGAGAGAGAGAGAGAGCAAAATGGGGTTTAACGTCCACTCAACACAAACTAGGTCATTCCGGGACTAACATATGGTTTAATTTTATTTCAATAATTCGCTTGCGCATAGGGGTCTTTAGCAGTGGGAGGAAACCGGAGGACCCGGGGAAAACCCACGAGGTTGGACAGGCGACCCTACTCCTTGTCACGTACAACAAGGGATTCGAAACCACGCCAGTCAACTCAATGACAGACTTTATGATACAGCGCGCACGCTAACCATTCAGCCATCCAACCCCCCACTATGAAGGAAACTTTTCCCAAATGGTTAGCACGTGCGCGCTGTATCATAAGGTCTGCCATTGAATCAACTGGCGTGGTTTCGATTCTCCGGTTGTATGTGGCAAGGAGTAGGGTCACCTGTCCAATCTAAAGACACCTATGCGCAAGCAAATTATTGAAATAAAATTGAACCATGTGTTAGTCCCGAAATAACCTAGTTTGTGTCGGGTGGACGTTTACCCCCCCACCCCCACACCCAGGGGCATACCAACATGTACACAGAACTTAGTTTTTTTGTCCCACAGAAATGACTAGATGTGTTCCTGTCCAGAGATGATTAACTATACTATTCAAAAAAAGTAGGGGATATTTGATTTTGGGGGCATAACACTAAAATATGCAAATGACTACGAAAAAAGTCATTATAGAACCTAACAGAAGAAACATTTCCAGTTACATGTGACGCCCAAACGCACCAATAGCTACCGCATGGAATGCAGGTGATGCTTGGGATCATCATGGGGGTCCAACCCAAGATTTGCACGACTCTAACTTTGAATGTTACAGTCATTGTGGCATTGAATTCCAGGGTGGAAACATCAGTTTAATTGTTTTAGTGACCAGAAAACAAATTTTGATATGCGTCGGCTTACCCAAAATGAAAGGTTACGTGCCCTTGGCATGCTACAGATCGGCACAACACAGGCGGTTGTGGCGCGGACGATGAATGTTTCTCAGTCTGTCATAAGCAGGCTATGGTCCAGATACCGTGATACACAATCTGTACAGGACAGACCACGCTCAGGTCGACCAAGGGCGACAACTCAAGCCCAGGATCGATTTATCCGTACCTTGGCCTTGAGAAATCGTGTCATCACAGCAAATCAGATCAGCGCTCGTCTTCAAACAGACACTGGTGTGAGAGTGAGTGGCCAGACGATTCGGAATCGACTGCATAGGGGTCACCTTTGCGCCCGACGTCCTCCCGTGATCCCTTGTTTGAGAGATCATCACATTCAGGCAAGACGTCGTTGGTGTAGGGATCGTCAACACTGGGATAATCGACGCTGGAGCAATGTGATGTTTTCAGATGAGTCAAGGTTCACTGTTGATTTTTTGGACAGACGTAGGAGGGTGTGGCGTCGTCGAAACGAGCGCTTCCAAGACGTTAACGTCATCAGACATGATCGATTTGGGGGTGGTTCTGTTATGGTGTGCGGAGGCATCACTGTTGCTGGAAGAACGGCTTTACATGTTGTTGCAGGGCGTGTTACAGGCCAGTACTACCGGGACAACATCTTGGCAGTCCATGTTGTGCCGTTCGCACGACGTCATGGCCGCCGTTTCATCTTCCAGGATGACAACGCAAGATGTCACAGGGCCAGGATCGTTACAGGTTACCTCCAACAACAGAACATCACCACATTACCTTGGCCAGCACTGAGTCCCGACCTCTCCCCCATCGAGCATGTCTGGGACATGCTTGGACAGAGGTTACGTCAACGTCAACAACGTCCTGCCAATGTCCAAGAACTTGCTGCTGCGTTGCAACAGGAATGGGACAATCTGGACCAAAATGACCTTAGACGTCTCATTAGGAGTATGCCACGTCGGATCAATGCTTGTTTGGCAAACAGAGGAGGATTTACCCGTTACTGACTTGGTTGTGATGCTGTGGTAACTTTGCTGTTTGACCCCGGGTATCATTTTACCCTTATAATGGCCAGTCTGTGCCTTACTTAGTCTAACGATCATTTGGAATAAATCGATGAATGTGAACTTCATTTCATTTTGTCATTTCTTTCTTCGTCAGTTTCATTAGGTGACTTTAATAACACTTAAAAATCAAATATCCCCTACTTTTTTTGAATAGTATATTATAGTGGCTATGGTTCACATTTTTTTTCATACTTAGATCTAGTAATTTTGAGTTTTCCAACATCAGAGTTTGGAGTTGATTCCCTCCATATTTCTGACAGATATTTAGGTACCTGAAACAGAAGAAAAATACGTTATTATAACAAATATGCCACAGTTCCCCCCCCCCCCCCACACACATAAAATTGAATTAAGATTAGTGCTGGGTATTGTGACAACCGCAGTTACAATAAAATACGTATTGCGATTCGGGTGCTACAATACGATTTGTATCGCGATTCATAACCAGGTCAATATTTACCAAGAAAACAACAGTATGAATGAATAATTGATATTTTATTGAAGTTACTAACTGCAATTACTTTTCAGGGCTTGAAAAGTTTGTTTGTCTACTTGTGGCCAACAGATCAAAATACGGACCAAACAGATTTAAGGATGTTTGTGTACCTATGGATAGTGTGCGACATGGATAATTAAGAGTGACAGGTTAGTTACTGAAGTGACAAAAAAACATAAAAAAGAATCGTAAAAAATCAATTCAGCATCCCGCGATTCAATACGTGAATCTTGAGATGGTGAATCGTGATACATCAATGCAACAATATATCGTGCCAGAACTAAGCGAAATCACATTAGCAGTTTTGGATAAAAAGCTGGAAAGGTAAAATGATTACTTCATAATGATGTACTTACTTTAACAAGCCATACACCACGTCCAGCAGCAGCTGTATCTACTTCTCTGACATCATGAGCTTTCTCTAGATTCATATCTCCAATACTTGTAGTTATAATTCAAAAAAAATAATTAATATGTCTGCAAACAAAAATTGTATACAATGTACCTTGTACATTTAGTCTTCGTTTACTGCAAATATTACCTTTAGAGATTTAAATGTTACAATAATTTAATTTGCAAGGGATTCCAAACCCATCAAACAACCATAAGCAACTTGAAGAATTTCTTGTGAAAATGTACCTAGTGTGCCAGGTTGCGTATTTAAGACTTTGCACCTGAGACAAAGTGGTCTAACAAGTGCCACACTGCGCTTTAGACACTGTAACCCTGGTATCATTTAATCTTGTGCATCTAGCTAGCACTAATTTCTTTCACATTCGTTTCATATCAAATCTTTCTTTAAAAATTCGTAAAAATCATTTAAAAATCACCCAAAATCATCTAATTTACAAGGGTTTAATTTCTCGATCACTGTTAATAAATAAACAACCCAATTGATTATTGATGTATAATGATTTTTTAAATAGTGGTCAGGAAATTAAATACTTGTAAATTTGACACTCATTATCAAAAATAATTAATCAGTCAGCTTTAAACTGGACACAAGTACAAATTAGATGATTTTTGGTGATTTTAAACAATTTTACAAAGATTTGATGAAGAAATTAGTGCTAAATACACAAGATTAAATGATACCCGGGTTACAGTGAGATTTAGATACCATTATAAGGTCTGTCACTGAAACAAGTGGCATGGCTTCAATCCCAAGCTTCTACGTGACAAGGAGTATGGTCACCTGCCCAACTTTGTTGGGTTTAACTAACACAACACGTGATAACAATCACTATATCATATAATCTTGACATTCCGACAAGATTTCACTTGTCTCTATCCATAGAACTGTGTTACATTATGTTCATTCATTCAAAGATTAGGTTTGTTGGATTTCTCTGGTTTCTCCACACTGCTAATCAAAGACCCCTAGACGTATACGCAAACTGTACACATTATTCATATTTTTGAATTACATCTATACCATGTTACCTATTTACTTATATTTTACATTAATATTAATATTGAATTACTTAAAATCAGCGAAAATCCTAACTTTCACCTTGAAAACATATAAGCACTAGAATTCACTTTCAAAATATTGGAAATCTATTTATAAAACGCTGAATATCCAACAAACTAGTTTCTCAAGAGCGCTATACTAATACCTATTTGCATTAATAATAAAAACACCTAAAATCACCGGAATTACATCAAAAACATATATCAGAATTTGCACTTAAGACCTCCCTAATTACTAATATTTTACATTAATAATAAATTACTTTAAAACACTGAAAATCACCGGAATTCACTTAGAAAACATATAAACACTGGAATTCACTTTCAAAATATGGGAATTCCTATTATTTACCAATAGTTTGCATTAATAATAAATTACTTTAAAACAATTGTATTTACATATATTTTGCATTAATATTAATACTAGAATGTATCTGTTGTAAGAAATTGAAAGAAATAAAAAAACAGCTGCTGCCAGGCAGGATACGCCCACATTTTCGAGAGATGGATAGAGAACAAGCTAAAAAGAAAGTGATTTTTCCTACAATCAAGGGCCATAATTCAGGAAATAACAATTCAATATGCGCAAATATCGACAGGAACCAAGATCATTGGGTTATAAACTTACATTTCAAGTTTCAACAAAATCGGATAAAAATTGGGACCTCTATAGGGTCCACAACCTTGATATACCATATTTTTACGCTATTTGAGAACGAGGGGCGGCCATTTTGTCTGTCAGTTTTGGGCCAATGTTCACGAAATTCGAACTCAGCCTTCCTTAGGGTGCAACGGTGATATAATAATACGTTTTTTTAAATCAGATAAAAATTATGACCTCTATAGGGTCCACAAGCTAAAATCGCGATTTTTCGTACAATCAGGGGCCATAATTCAGGAAGTTACGTTCCGATATGCGCGAATATCGAAAGGAACCGAGATCTTTGGGTTATAAACTTACATTTCAAGTTTCAACAAAATCTGATAAAAATTGTGACCTCTATAGGGTCCACAACCTTTTTTACGCTATTTGAGAACGAGGGGCGGCCATTTTGCCTGTCAGTTTTGGGTCGATTTTCACGAAATTTTAACTCAGCCGTCCTTAGGGTTTAACGGTCATATGATAATACGTTTTTTTGAATCGGATAAAAATTATGACCTCTATAGGGTCCACAAGCTAATAACGCTATTTTTCGTACAATCAGGGGCCATAATTCAGGAAGTTATTGTCCGATATGCGCGAATATCGAAAGGACCCGAGATCTTTGGGTTAAAAACTTACATTTCAATTTTCAACAAAATCGGATAAAAATTGTGACCTCTATAGGGTCCACAACCTTGATATACCATATTTTTACGCCATTTGAGAACGAACGGCGGCCATCTTGTCTGTCAGCCATCCTTAGGGTTTAACGGTGGTATAAGGAACCGTGATCTTTGGGTTATAAGCATACATTTCAAGTTTAAACCAAATCGGATAAAAATTGTGACCTCTACAGTGTTCACAAGCTAAAAACGTGATTTTTCGTAGAATCAGTGGCCATAATCCATGAAGTTACAGTCCGATACATGCCAATATCGAAAGGAACCCCTATCTTAGGGTGATAAACCTATATTTCAAGTTTCATTGAAATTGGATAAAAATTGTGACCTGTAGACTGTTCACAAACAATTGTGGACGGACGGACGGAGGACAGGGGCAACAACAATATACGTCCACATGAAAATGTGGGCGTATAAAAATACCATAAAAACAAATCATGAACTGGATGATTAATATGTCTAGCGAGGCGGTTAAAACGATATTTCCAGATGGTCAACTCGGGAAAGACAATATGATTAGAACGCAGCATTATCCCATGTCAAATCAAACATTTCTCGAATGTGGAGCAAAACGTTCTCAGTGTAGATGAGCCAAGTTTATTCGAAAATTAACTCGGTAATAACAAGCCAATCAAATAAAGTTTTAAAAAGATTATTCCTTAAATGAACACCTGATGTGTTGACGTGTTCAGTACGGTAGTTATTTTAATAATTAATCTGCCGTGGATATGAAGTTTAGATTTATGTTCAACCTGTATGTTGATAGGGCCGTTTGTTGATTGTCTCTAATCAGAGGCAGGAAATCACCACATTCCACACAAAATACAGACAAGCATGGCAACGTCGGTCTGTGACCTACTCCTAGGCATAAAATGATGCACATTGTAAATGGGTCCCTTGCATTTAGTACATCTCACTTGCAATTATTTCTATAATCTTTACAAATTATTGTCTTTCATATTTTCATCAAAAGTCATGGCTACTCGTAGAAAGATTAAACTTGGAATAAATACTCCAGTAGGGCGAGATTGTGAAAAGACTAAAAGTATCTTGTGCGATTGTTGTGGTGTATCGTTTCATTGTGATTGTGAAAATTTACTTAGTTGGAGTTTAACTTTTTTGGCCAATATTCCTCTATTCCCTTTACCTGCCCATCCTGTTATCTTGGAGGTACATCAAGTGATACATATTATTGTTATTCATAGAGATTGTCTAAGGTAAGCCATGCTACCAATGTACACGTATCTTATACTACGGTGTACACGTATCGTATACTACGGTGTACACGTATAGTATGTCGTAGTTTTCAAGTGAATTCCGGTAACTACAGCGGGGTAACCCATAACATTATTGTGTGTGGTCGTGTATTTTATGTCATCTGTGGAAAGATCGAAATATTTATTAGACAATGTAACATAAATTACCATATACTATATACATTTATTTTATGATCAGTAGTGGAATACCGCGTTTTATCAGTGAATTAAAGTGTTATTCCACTGGCTAGCTGTAGTCCATGTTGTTTTTACCTAAAATGATTGTAAAATCATAAAATAAATAGAACATTTGTCGTTTTGTCGTGAATAACATATTTTATTTCATCTCTAAGCAAGAAAACGTTTATATTTTCACTCATGCTACGCATTCGTGAAAATATAAGTTTTCTTGCTTCTCGATGAAATAAAATATGTTATTCACTCTAAAACGACAAATATCCTCTATGTATTTGAAATGAATTCCGGTAGTCTTTCAAATAAATACACCTAGAATGCCTTCATTGGGTCTGTGGAGATATATTTAAATTGTATTATACATTTAAAATAAATTAGTTTTGTGGGAGGATTTAATGCAAAATGTAAGTAAATACAATTGTTTAGGGCAGTGGCTAAATACCACGCTCCAAAATACCACGTTCGTCCCTATTACTTCTATACAAATGTAACGTGGTACGAGATTTTGGTACCACGTACTTTATAATTTTGGTGATTTTACCTTATTAAAAGCAAATTTTGCAAATTACATTAATTATTTAATGAATTTCGATGTTTTATACTATTTATAGATGATATTTACACTTAATGTTTAATATAATCTAATTCAGACAGTCGATCAGTCGGTTAAAATAATCGCCATTTAGGCACGGTGTAAAATGTATTTTAACCCATTTAAAAAGACCCTACGTGGTATATTGGACTACTGGGTAGATAATATGAAACAAAACGTAGCAGATAAAAACGTGGTACAATTAAATAGGCAGTGGCTATTTGCCACATGTGGTAAGCAAGAATGTCAAAATAGCCCTGCGGCTACAGACCACAATTATTAACCGATTTCAATGAAACTTACAGATTATAATAACATTAATAATATCTCAAAATAGCCAAAATTTCGGCCACTTCCGGTTAGCGGTTTCCGAGATATCAGGTTACCACACATTTTATGTGGCACGGCTACAGACCACAATTATCAACCGATTTCAATGAAACGTACAGATTATAATAACATTAATGATATCTCAAACTAGCCAAAATTTCGGCCACTTCCGGTTAGCGGTTTCCGAGATATCAGGTTACCACACATTTCATGTGGCACGGCTACAGACCACAATTATCAACTGATTTTAATGAAACTTACAGATTATTATAACATTAGTAATATCTCAAACTAGCCAAAATTTCGGCCACTTCCGGTTAGCGGTTTCGGAGATATCAGGCTACCACACAATTCATGTGGCACGGCTACAGACCACAATTATCAACCGATTTCAATGAAACTTACAGATTATAATAACATTAATAATATCTCAGCATAGCCAAAATTTCGGCCACTTCCGGTTAGCGGTTTCGGAGATATCAGGTTACCACAAAATTCATGTGGCACGGCTACAGACCACAATTATCAACCGATTTCAATGAAACTTACAGATTATAATAACATTAATACTACCTCAAAATAGCCAAAATTTCGGCCACTTCCGGTTAGCGGTTTCCGAGATATCAGGTTACCACACATTTCATGTGGCACGGCTACAGACCCCAATTATCAACCGATTTCAATGAAACTTGCAGATTATAATAACATTAATAATATCTCAAACTAGCCAAAATTTCGGCCAGTTTGAGATATTATTAATGTTATTATAATCTGTAAGCTTCGTTAAAATCGGTTGATAATTGTGGTCTGTAGCCGTGCCACATGAAATGTGTGGTAACCTGATATCTCGGACACCGCTAACTGAAAGTGGTCGAAATTTTGGCTAGTTTGAGCTCTTAATACTCTTATTATAATCTGTAAGTTTCATTGAAATCGGTAAATAATTGTGGTCTGTAGCCGTGCCACATGAAATGTGTGGTAACCTGATATCTCGGAAACCGCTAACCGGAAGTGGCCGAAATTTTGGCTAGTTTGAGCTCTTAATACTCTTATTATAATCTGTAAGTTTCATTGAAATCGGTTGATTATTGTGGTCTGTAGCCGTGCCACATGAAATGTGTGGTAACCTGATATCTCGTAAACCGCTAACCGGAAGTGGCCGAAATTTTGGCTAGTTTGAGATATTAATACTCTTATTATAATCTGTAAGTTTCATTGAAATCGGTTGATAATTGTGGTCTGTAGCCGTGCCACATGAAATGTGTGGTAACCTGATATCTCGGAAACCGCTAACCGGAAGTGGCCGAAATTTTGGCTAGTTTGAGATATTATTAATGTTATTATAATCTGTAAGTTTCGTTAAAATCGGTTGATAATTGTGGTCTGTAGCCGTGCCACATGAAATGTGTGGTAACCTGATATCTCGGAAACCGCTAACCGGAAGTGGCCGAAATTTTGGCTAGTTTGAGATATTATTAATGTTATTATAATCTGTAAGTTTCATTAAAATCAGTTGATAATTGTGGCTAGTTTGAGCTCTTAATACTCTTATTATAATTTGTAAGTTTCATTGAAATCGGTTGATAATGGTGGTCTGTAGCCGTGCCACATGAAATGTGTGGTAACCTGATATCTCGGAAACCGTTAACGGGAAGTGGCCGAAATTTTGGCTAGTTTGAGATATTAATACTCTTATTATAATCTCTAAGTTTCATTGAAATCGGTCGATAATTGTGGTCTGTAGCCGTGCCACATGAAATGTGTGGTAACCTGATATCTCGGAAACCGTTAACCGGAAGTGGCCGAAATTTTTGCTAGTTTGAGATATTAATACTCTTATTATAATCTGTAAGTTTCGTTAAAATCGGTTGATAATTGTGGTCTGTAGCCGTGCCACATGAAATGTGTGGTAACCTGATATCTCGGAAACCGCTAACCGGAAGTGGCCGAAATTTTGGCTAGTTTGAGATATTAATACTCTTATTATAATCTGTAAGTTTCATTGAAATCGGTTGATAATTGTGGTCTGTAGCCGTGCCACATGAAATGTGTGGTAACCTGATATCTCGGAAACCGCTAACCGGAAGTGGCCGAAATTTTGGCTAGTTTGAGATATTATTAATGTTATTATAATCTGTAAGTTTCGTTAAAATCGGTTGATAATTGTGGTCTGTAGCCGTGCCACATGAAATGTGTGGTAACCTGATATCTCGGAAACCGCTAACCGGAAGTGGCCGAAATTTTGGCTAGTTTGAGATATTATTAATGTTATTATAATCTGTAAGTTTCATTAAAATCGGTTGATAATTGTGGCTAGTTTGAGCTCTTAATACTCTTATTATAATTTGTAAGTTTCATTGAAATCGGTTGATAATGGTGGTCTGTAGCCGTGCCACATGAAATGTGTGGTAACCTGATATCTCGGAAACCGTTAACGGGAAGTGGCCGAAATTTTGGCTAGTTTGAGATATTAATACTCTTATTATAATCTCTAAGTTTCATTGAAATCGGTCGATAATTGTGGTCTGTAGCCGTGCCACATGAAATGTGTGGTAACCTGATATCTCGGAAACCGTTAACCGGAAGTGGCCGAAATTTTTGCTAGTTTGAGATATTAATACTCTTATTATAATCTGTAAGTTTCGTTAAAATCGGTTGATAATTGTGGTCTGTAGCCGTGCCACATGAAATGTGTGGTAACCTGATATCTCGGAAACCGCTAACCGGAAGTGGCCGAAATTTTGGCTAGTTTGAGATATCATTAATGTTATTATAATCTGTAAGTTTCATTAAAATCGGTTGATAATTGTGGTCTGTAGCCGTGCCACATGAAATGTGTGGTAACCTGATATCTCGGAAACCGCTAACCGGAAGTGGCCGAAATTTTGGCTAGTTTGAGATATTATTAATGTTATTATAATCTGTAAGCTTCGTTAAAATCGGTTGATAATTGTGGTCTGTAGCCGTGCCACATGAAATGTGTGGTAACCTGATATCTCGGACACCGCTAACTGAAAGTGGTCGAAATTTTGGCTAGTTTGAGCTCTTAATACTCTTATTATAATCTGTAAGTTTCATTGAAATCGGTTGATAATTGTGGTCTGTAGCCGTGCCACATGAAATGTGTGGTAACCTGATATCTCGTAAACCGCTAACCGGAAGTGGCTGAAATTTTGGCTAGTTTGAGATATTATTAATGTTATTATAATCTGTAAGTTTCATTAAAATCGGTTGATAATTGTGGTCTGTAGCCGTGCCACATGAAATGTGTGGTAACCTGATATCTCGGAAACCGCTAACCGGAAGTGGCCGAAATTTTGGCTAGTTTGAGCTCTTAAAACTCTTATTATAATCTGTAAGTTTCATTGAAATCGGTTGATTATTGTGGTCTGTAGCCGTGCCACATGAAATGTGTGGTAACCTGATATCTCGTAAACCGCTAACCGGAAGTGGCCGAAATTTTGGCTAGTTTGAGCTCTTAATACTCTTATTATAATCTGTAAGTTTCATTGAAATCGGTTGATAATTGTGGTCTGTAGCCGTGCCACATGAAATGAGACTTGTCACATGTGGCAAATAGTCTCCGGATTGTCTTACCACATGTGGCAAATAGCCCCAGCCAATTAAATATGATGATACGAAAGTGCAATGTGTTGATAAGTAAAAAAACCGTGGTACAGTAGAATCCAAGGCTGAGATAACAGTACCACGTTCGCTTACTGCTTCTATACAAACGAAACGTGGTACGCGACTTTAGCAAATTATGTCGATTATTTAATCCATTTTCACGTTTTTATAGGCTATATACGGGGTAGACTAATCACCGGAATTCACCGGATACACCGGAATTCATTTACAACCACCGGAATTCACTTCTAAAATCCCCGATTCCTCCCACAAAACTCACTTATTTTAATGTATAATACATTTTGATCTCTCCACAGGCCAGATAAAGGCGCTGTAGGTGAATTTATTTGAAAGACTACCGGAATTCATTTCAAATATATGCATCATGATTATGATAACGTAGGGCGCGTCGTATTACCCAATAGGCCGAACTCCAAAATAACACATAATAACAATTTGCGTCGAATTACCCAATATAGTCCGGTGGCTGAAGGGGGGGGGGGGGGAATCGCCACCCGAGCTGTGAATTTATGAGACCAAGTTTTTCTAGACCAGTTTTTTGCGTAGATTTCGAATCTGGCTGGTGATCAGGCGTTTGAGGGTGCGTTTTCGAGATATAGGGGG